GCTCGCAGGAGGGTTTCACCGGGACTGGCGGGACCCCTGATGTACCCACCATCAGGGAGAGGGGCCAGTCCCCCCATTAGCTCCTAATCTTAAAAAAAAAAAAAAAAAAAGTTTCAAAATTAATTGTGAGAAGTCGGTTTGCCAATGACGAACAGGTTTTGAAAAATTTCCACTTAGTGTCTGTTTCCTCGCGAAGAGAGGGGCGTACACATGTACTGTGTACATACGGGAACATAAGAAAAGAATACCTCGATTTAAGATTACCTGGAGCGGTTTTCATACCATTAAAAGGAAAATTAGGTTTGTTATAGGGCAATATTGCACTCCAAATTGATAATACACGCTGGTATCGAGAATTTAACAGCTCATTAATTAATCGGTTAGTTATACCTTAAGGGAAATATAGTCAATCATCCCGATGCTCGCGGGACAGTCCTCCCTCAAGAAAGTCATCACCAGCTTACACTGGTCATGACGGTTGCATCTGAAGAGTAAAATTCGTCAGGAGGAGGAAAAGGCTGCATAGCGTCCTGTGGCTAGTAGAACCATCCTCCCGTTCGGGGGACCTTCGGGCCAGGTTCTGGTGTATTCCCAGGGTGGGTCACCTCTTCAGAGGAAAGTGTCGAGGAATTCATTGTCTTCCTCTGACATCTATGTGGGAAACCCTAGGAAACTGAGTCAGAGGTTCAGGGGACTCGTTTCAGTAGAATCAGGGAGTGGCTCGCTACAATGACCACTTAGGCTCCATCTCACGCCGGTTTTAGGAACCTCTTTGTTCGGATAGCTATGAGATGGTTTGCTGAGTCTTTTGTATGGCTCAACTTCAGGGTTTCCGCGTTGGGCCAGATACTAAATAATTACTACTGCCATGTGCCCCCCGTGAAGATGAAGACGATGGATAGGGGCAACTACGAGAAAGTTCTACATCTTTTCCGTCTTCAGTGCCCTCTGACTTAATGCTGAATAAGCTTTTCGGAACGTAAATTGCGCCTACCCGGGGCTACATCCTCGATCCAACACGACTCGAAAAATCATCAAAGTGCTTTTTACAGGTGGATTCTAGTGTTGATTGTTCCACTCAATACTCAGTGATTAACGGTTTGTAGAATTCCTCCAGGCACCTCACCTCTGACCTGCTCATCGTTATTGCAGCAAACAAATTACTTAAATATTTCAAGATATTTAAGAGAGGTAAGTATAATTTCTTGAGGACTAAAATCATAATGTGAGATTCATTTTCATCGCAAGTCTCAAGCTATTCCGCCGCTGCAAAAAAATTAATGAATTAGGCTCCATTAAACCCTTACCTGGCTTGTTTCTCGCGGGCGATTTCGACAGGCAAGCATGGTCATGAAAAAATTGCCTGATATTCTTTGTGAAGGAATTCATCTGAAAAGTTTTTCGCATCGATATAAAGTGCAAATAACAGAACGTTTCCATAATAACGTTTGGGAGTATTGATCAAAATGCAAACGGTAGAGAAGCAGTTTTCACTGCGGAACTTTGACTGCAACAATGGCAGTTTGGCTTTTCTTGTCTTCTGATCGGTTTTATAGAGAAAGGGACGGGTCTTTTGCACATGAGCTACGAAGGGATCCTGTCCTTGCATATGATCCCAAACAGCATGTTTGTGTTAATTTTACGTAAAATGAATGTAAATTTTTTGTCCATTTTATATCATTTTTACGCAAACCATTGTCAAGAAAATGTCAACATGTTTGCAAAAATGTCACCTCTGTGATACGTAAACGGTGATATAAAATTCACGTAAATTTTACGTAAAATTTACCTTCCCGTTTGCATTCCAAAGAGCATGTTTACATTCGTTTTACGTAAGATTTATGTTAATTTTCTCCTGGCATTCATGCGTATCATTACCATTGAAGAGAATTGAAATACTGAATCTCCTATTCCTCTACGTTCTTCAGAACTCTAGGGTGGTTGGACGAGTACTCATACTCACCAGCACTCAAGAGTACCAAAGTAACCTACTGCTTCTTCCTCCCGTACCAGTACCTCGGGAGAAGGAACAGATATTCAAAGAAGCTCTCATCCTTTTAGGATAGAGAAGATGTAGTACTTACAGGGCTGGGATTCTACTCTTCCCTAATCCCGTGCGCTGCTGTAATAAAAAGCTTAACTTCAGCATTTAATGATTCCCTGAGTCATATATTATACAAATATAAATAATAATTTCATGTTTTCCATATATATATTCATGGATTGCATAATAAAAAGTAGAAGGATGGTAAGAAAACCTGATACTATATAAGGAAAACCAGTACTTAATAGTAATTGTAGGATGCAGGGAACAAGGGTTCCATCTAGTGAGGAATCTTGGTACTGCAACTGCAGGATGATCAGCTGAAGTTTCATATGGATGGTGTGGTGTTAATTTTTCATAAACTTGCTATCATGTACTTCACGTCAGATGGAGTGATGTCTAGTTGATGTAAAATACACATACACTTTGGTGACGTAAATATAGGAACGTAAATTTTTCGTAAACGTGATGTCATTTTCATGGCAATCGCAAGAAATTTACACTGTTTGTAAAAAATTGATATCTTGTTTACGTGAACATGCTGCTTGGGATGTATTCCAAATGATATAGAGCCGGGTTTGGCTGTATGAATGGGATGTATGTGAAGAATTACCTTGAGCACGGCCAATAGAGACCGTCCCGAGCCTCCACATCGGTACATATATCCATCTACTTTTAGCAACTTTCACAGTGATGCAGTCTTTATTTGTAATTTGTATTTCCGGTTTACATCTCAGCGTTTTCAACATTTTCACGATCTATGAAAATTTTAAATGTTAGAAAATGTAATTTAATTTCAGTTCAATTAATAATTAACAATAACCATAATAAAGATAGTAAATAAATTTACATTTTTTACGTTATACAACTTTTATATTAAAGGCACTAAAAACCTAAAAATAAATTACATTTTGACATGGGGTGAGTGTCATTGTTTTGATAGATTCTCAAAATTCCCTATTAATTACAGATCTAGTGTTAGGATATTAGTTAACGAAACTTGAACGCATCTTAATATAAAAGTTGTGTGGCTTTTGCAAGGCTGATCTGATGGATCAAGAAATTAAGTACTAAAGTATGGAAAACGTAACAACAAACATCAACATCCCAAACGTCAAACATCCCTGTAGGTTTATATTCAGCATTTATGTAATCAATCAGTTTGCGGCAGTGAAGGCAAGGAAAATAAACTTGACTTAACAATTATTAAAGTCATCGTATCAAAGGTGACTAACACTGACTGCGTTGTTTTTTTTTTTTTTTAGATCATTGGGACTTAAGACTTGGAACAAACTAGTTAATAGAATTAGATTAGAATACTGTTCTTTGTTTAAATTTTGTTTTATTGGGCGTATTCATTAATACTGTATTACTCTAAGTTTCTCCTGTCATTGGTATTTGGCAGTGAATTCAAGTTATTCGATTGTATTATAAAATTGTAATTTTCTCGATTAAAAAATTAAATGAGTTCATTTTTTATAAATCATATCAGCGTTCATATTGTGTGTTTACAGTGTCTGTGAAACAGTACTTTGAGTATTTAAAAAAAAAAAGAAAATTGTGATATATGCCAAATGCTCTCAAATGCGTGTGTAGTATGCTTGGGTTTCCACCCCACCCCCTATACTACATTTGGCTGAGCCCGGGGTGCATATTTTGTAACTTGCCCCCGGGCACAGAAGACCCTAGCTACGCCATTGAGTAGCTATATGAGCAAGGGGAGAAGCAATAAATGTTTGAGGCATCTCTGAGCGTTACATTAAGCACAATATTTCAATTGTAAAATATAAATGGATGATTCCTTGAGTCATATGGGTTCGATGATATAGCCCCAGGTAGGTACAATTTGAGTTTTGAAAAACTTCAGCATCATAAAGTTAGAGGCCACTGAAGGTGGCAAAAAACCCCACCCAACTCTTATTTTTAATAGAGTATAAAATTTTGCTGTCGGACATAATTCGACGAATTTTCTTGTAGCATGAAGCAAAAGAATGTGGCTCCCGATAAGCCCATCTTCCGTTCAAAAATTGTGGCAAAAACGTGGAGAGGAATGAAAATGTCTAAGACCCTCCTTCCAATCAAGCATAGCTTTTACTACAGAAATAAAACTGAATTATTTTAATATGGATGCAGAAAGTGGTATATCAGCTTTCATATGCCTTAAGGAGCCTCCCGTTGTCGTTCCATAGCAACAAGCTAAAGAGATCCAAAAATTGTTAGAAGCATTTCTCAAGCTATTTCGAGTGACTTCGCGACATTGCTGGAGTAAGACAACTGGGCAAAACCTTGGACAGATGAATCTTTGATGTCCTTAGATTTAAACCCACCATCTTTTGTCCAGTTATATTGATGTAGCAAGTTTTAAAAGTTCTTAGCATTTGGGTGCATTCTCTGACCTGTGGCGTGGGGCTAAAATCCCGGAAGTCATAATTTCAGTAGTATTCACAGGGAACATGCATGCCACATTTTATGGAACTCCGAGGTATGAACCTCAAAATGTCCATTTTCACCCGATTTTCACGTGAAAATTTTATTACGGTCATATCGGGAAATTCCATTTCCAGAGCTTCTCCAAAGCTCTCGTGGTTCTCACCTTTCTTGCTTCAGGAAAATAGGTCATTTCAAACTGAACAACCAAAAGTGATATTCCTCTCTAGCCTTTCTCCACCGATCTTGATCTGTCAAGGAGCAACACAGTTACTCATTTTCCTTGTATGTTTTATATGCTCAAATAAATTTACCAAGAATGCTTTTAAAAAAGGAGCCTTATGTGAATGTGCTTCGAGACCTCGACGAGCGCAGGGGGTATGTCGGTTTGTATTCTTGCGTGAACAGGAAATACGCATCAGAAAGGGCCATTCTGCACTACGATTTCTGCTTTGTTATATCATTTCATTGTCCTTGTATTTAGGGTCTCGTTACATGGGGAACTTCGGAATCAGGGTCGGGGAGGCGAGATACCGATACGATTACGATCCCAGCATCAACCCCAGCGTGACGAATGCTTTTGCCGCAGCCGCTTTCCGATTTGGACATACCCTCATCCAGGGACTCGTCCAGTAAGAACACATCCATCCCCCTATATCTCTCTCGTTCTCTTCCTTCCATGAATCTGGAGAAAAGATTGCAGGCAAAAAAATTCCATTCAGACTCTTTGGAGGAGGAGTGCAGACGGAAAGAAGGGAACTACGGGACTTCTTCAATAATCCAGGTCTCTTGTACGGTCAGAATGGACTGGATCGATTCATCAATGCCTTGGTCACACAATCCGTGCAAGGATTCGATAACTTAATCACTAAAGAGGTTCGTTCTCTCTGTCATCAGTTCTCTTTCTCGTACCTCCATACATCAATCGAATTTCGGCAGGTGACGGAGCATCTATTCGAAGATCGGCGTCACGGATTCGGAATGGACCTGGTGTCGTTGAATCTGCAAAGGAGTCGTGATCACGGGGTCCGAGGATACAACGAATATCGAGAGCTCTGTGGTCTCGGCCGGGCCCGCACCTTCAACGACTTCGCTACCCACATCAATCCCCAAGTGATCGGAGCCATGCAGAAGGTCTACGAGAACGTGGACGACGTGGATCTCTTCATTGGTGGCATCAGCGAGAGACCGGTGGATGGCGCTTTGCTGGGACCGACTTTCTTGTGTATCGTTGGCGACATGTTCCTTCGTCTCCAGAAGGGAGACCGCTTCTTCTACGACCTTGGGAATCAACCTCATTCATTCACCCCTGGTCCCGATCTCTTGTCTGAGAGAGGAGGAGGGTAAGTCGCTACCGTAAACCTTACTAGTAGAGAGGGTGGAGATAAGCTAGGATCGCGTTGATAGCCTCTAGGCCTTCTGCTCGGACCGGGTCTATGACACACTGTTGTCGCTGAGCCTGCAAGAAATCCCGCCATTGGCCTTTCATACTACGTAGGCTATTATTTTTCTGCTTCGGTCCTGGTGCACAATAGAATCGTCTACGATTACTTTGTTGTACTTATAGGATCCGGAAGGTGGGATGCGGGAGTCCGGCGATTCCCCGGCCACAATTTGGTCCATGGAAGGAAGGTTCTGGAGTCACCTTCGGTTGAGGAATCTACAGTATTTCACTTTCGTCTAATTCATTTTCTTTCCGTTCCTGCTCATTTGTCAAGAATTTTGACATGCACCTTCGCGTACATTCTGGAAGAATCTGAAATTCACTGACTTGCCATTCTTCAATATCATAAAGGAAGATACATTCCCCATAAAACAATGGTTCTCGTCGTACTTTCTTGCTATCTACCCTTGGGAAGAACATTCTGCATGGTTTTACTTTTGACAAGTTATTAAGGGCGGTCCTATCCTTCCTGAAAATTGAGCTAGGGCGAGGGCGGTGCATAGATTTCGCATAGCGTCTCCCCGCCTGTCTTTCTCCTCGGGGCTCACTCCGACGGAAAGCATTTCTTAAAAATCCAACTTTCTATATCGCGTCTCTCATCTGATCGAGGGGAACGAACTTCCCCCCCCCTTTTTTTTTTTTTACACCTCCCTTCACTTTCCGCGTTCTGCATTCATCGCCTCGAGACATCGGCGTAATCATACCGTTTCAAAACATCATGTTGTCCGAGTTAAAAAAAAAAATATATATATATATACCACGTTTATATATTTAGCTAGTTTGGTGCATATCTCTCCAATTCTCTTGCACCGTTCTCGTACTTGAGACATGCTCCTTGATGCACACAAATTATATTTAAAAGATGACTTAAAATAATGTGAAGAAAAACCGCATAACAGTGCAGATAACATACTCTGAAATTGTAGGCTTTTCTCCCAATGTGAGCTCATGACCCCTTCTTTCAAATCTTCCTCTGAACAATTACTCTAACTCCGAACTTCACTCGACTTCGTTTCTTCCCTGAACACGACTATCCTCCTCCTCCAGACATGATCTCTTCAGGAAGGATACTTTCTGCACCTCCACTATTTCATCGATGAGATCTAGCAGTTTCGTCTAGGGACAGGAAAGTGAACGAGGGAATTGTCAGTTCGAGGTCAAAGGGAAGACACGAGGGGCGAGAATTCTACATTTAGGTGACAGGAATAGAATAAATACATCGTTACCCAGTACGTCTTCGCGGATGGCGTTCCCAAGTATACCAACCGACTCGATTCTGAACCCTAGCGCTGGGAAGGGAGAACCTCCTTCATGGACGTGATGAAGGGAGGGTGAGAATTCCCCCGAAAGTTGTTAACGTTTCGAAGAAACCTTTGGAAACATACTCGATGAAATGAGAAAAACGGAGCCGTTTTCATCGTGGAAAGCTGTATGGCTCACCGACAAATGATTCCCGATACCCGTCCCATTGAAGTAACTTCTCTCTATCCAAATCAGAGGTCAAGAGATGACTTAGGTTCTCTATCGGCTCCCATTGCCACTGTGTTGCAGGCCGAGGTGTGTCTTCGACACGATATCGCAGGAACAATCTTGAACAAGCTGTACACGACGTACTAGAGCGTTTACACTCCCGATGATGTGCCGCGGAGCATACCCAGCCGTTTCCATGGACAGGTCATCGAATACGGAAGTGATTTTCGAACGAAGTCGTCATTTCCACGCCATGGAAGGAAAAGACCTTCACTGTCTGGTTTCTTCGTGTTTCTCCTTCTCTTCCTCCCCTGTCGAGACGTGGATTCCTCGAGGAGGAATGCGGACCCCTGCCTTCACATCCATGAAGGCTCTCGCCACAACCATCCTGGGTGACCGGCTCATAGGGAACGAGAGGGGGTCGGGTCCTCATTTACGACGCCTATTCCTCGATCGCTTGGGACACCTTCGCCACCTGGCTTTTGATAATGCAACCAGATCGTCACGATGCGACTCTACGGCACAAAAGTTTTGCTCGATTTGCATGAAACGTGCCGAATTTAGGAAGAGCCACTCGGTGTATCGGCTCGTGATGAAAATCTCTTCGGGTCGATTTCGTGGTTTTGCGATCGAGATACAGATTTTAAGTTCTGAATAGTACCTGATATTGAACTCTGTACCTCACTCAATGGGAGGAGCTTCAAGTCCGTAATTGATATATTGTTTATAGGGGTGAGAGACTTTGCTTACTTTTTGAGTACTTTTGCAAGAGAGCACTTTTCAATTTCAGGTAGAAAATTAAGGTTATAGCTTATCCTTATCACACGATGCGTTCAAACATGAAATTGATCCGGATTTCCAGACATTAAATGTTATTGAATAGACTGAGTTTGGCAACTCTTATCATATACAGGGTGAGTCAAAATTATGTTAACACTAATGGATTATTTTTCTTCTGCAGATAGACGTACACCATGAGTGACAGATTAACACTAGAGCAAAGAAGAGTGGTTGCAAGCTTGATGGAAGAGTATCGTTCGCCGACTGTAGTTCGTCAAAAGTTTGCGGAACGATTTGCAGGACGAGACCCACCAAGCCGTTTAACGATTTATCGTGTCTACGCAAAGTTTGTGAAGACAACGGTCGGTAGCAGACAACTACCGAGGAAATGCGGGACGGCCCAGAACAGGTAGAAGTGAATTGAACATTGCTGTTGTGCAGCAAGCCATATTGCAGAGTCCATCAAAATCGACCAGACGGTGCAGTTTGGAAACAGGGATTCCGCAAAAAAACAGTGTGGCGAATCTTGACACAAGACCTCGGGATGCAACCGTACCACATCCAAGTCGTCCAAGCTTTGACAGCGGCGCAAAAGCGTGTTCGTGTGGAATGCTGCCAGATTTTAGCCGAAATGACGAATATCCAACCAGACATTGTGAATCTTATGGCATTCAGTGATGAAGCCACATTTCACACAAGTGGGCATGTTAACGATTGGCGGGGTATTTCCAACAGGATGGCGCACCGCCGCATTTTGCCCGTACTGTTCGTGCTTATCTCGACCACACCTTTCCAGGTCGATGGATAGGTCGTGGTGGACCATTGCCGTGGCCTCCACACTCCCCTGATTTGACACCCTGTGATTTCTGGTTATGGGGTATGGTGAAGGAGCGCGTGTATAGCAGGAAAGTTCGTGATATCAATGACCTAAAGGACAGAATACGGACTGGTATCATCTATTCCCCGCGAAATGTGTGTCCGGGCTTTAAATGGTACTGTTGCTCGCTGGTTTTTGTGTTGAACATGATGGCGAACAGGCTGAGACAGTCCTGTAAATCATCTTACACATATGAAGTATGTTTTGTGAATAAATGGTTTCCGCCATTTAAGTGTTAACATAATTTTGACTAACCATGTATTTAAGTAGAATCTATGTGAGCTTATATGACATAGCTTTCGATGTACCCGCCTTCCATCTTGGCAACCAATTCAACCTATTTTGGTAATTTGAAAATGATCGATATCGGCGTATCAGTGCTGATAGATTTGAGCTCAGTTTCAATCGCAGCTCCTAATTCCTGGAAAGTTCTTTGGTTGCTCCAATAATCTCTGTCATTAACCCTTTGGGGTCCACGCCCAAGATACCTCGTGTTCGCGCGTTGCCTTGCTCTGACCCACGCCCGAGATATCTCGTTTCGCGTTTTCTCGTTACTATCCCGCACCTGTCCTGACACGTTGCCAGACGCAGACGTCACATTTCAAATCCTAATCATGTGAGGTATTGTGGTTACTTCTATCAGCTATCAGCTACAGTCTAGTAAACAAGACCCGCCGGGAACGATCAAAAGAGGTAATTGTTGAAGAATTGCTACATTCTGACTTCGATTTTGAATTGAACAATGATTCAGATGATGACTTTTGTTTGACAATGTTTGTGTGACAATGGGAGATTTGCCGTTGCCTGCAGCTAAACGAAGACGGAATGGATTGCAGCCTCATGAGTGGAACAATGAAAATATTTTTTTTTTTCCCAGTTGTCACCCCATTCGACTCGACTAGCAGTGGCGTGAGACGCAAACTCGTATTACGAAGGAATCGACAGAGCAATATTTTTTTCCTGAACTTTTTACACCAAAACTGTGAGAAAAGTTGGTGCAGAAGACAAACCATTATTACAAGGAAGTATCCCAGAAGATGAACTGATCCCTAACTAACACTTATGAGATCATGCTGTTTCGTACATTATGTATGGTAATGGGCATGTGAGAAAAAGTTCAATCCGCGACTACTCGAGCCCCAACTAGAAACTGAAGACAGTTTTTGGAAACACTAGAGTGTGTCACGTGAGCACCCACTCATGCATGGGTCCGAAGAAGAAACAAGAAGTGCGTTAAATGTGCAACACCTGTGACAAGCCCCTATGGGCCCACCAGTGCACGGAGCGCTACAACACCCTTCTCCAGTGTTGAAAGAAGCTTTCCACAGACATTCCTCTTTTATTTTTAAAAAAACTAAGTTGATATATCTGGAACGAAAATAGCTTGAAATGTTTAGAAAAACATTGGAAGTGCAACCCCATTCGTACGAGTGTTGCAGTCATGCATTTTTTCTTACGAGGGGTATTCCTTTGAGGGAGTGAAAAAAAACTCGGATCGGCACGTGCAGACAGTAAAAAAAAAAAAAAAAAAAAAAAAAAAAAAACCGGACCCCAAAAGGATAAAAAAGTAACAGAAGAAAAAAAAAAAAAAAAAAAAAAAAAAAAAAAAAAAAAAAAACTCGGACCCCAAAGGGTTAAAATTGTCTCCACAGATTTAAATCTGGTGAGTGGGCTAGCCACTAAAATCTTTCTCCATAGCGGATCGGATATCCCGAGGCCGAAATCTCGGTTCTGGAAGGTCTGGTTGAGCTATCCAATGACTGGGCTCGTTCGACGTGGGATAGTGTCAGGATAGCTCTCGATTGAATTCCTAGTCAAAGCCCACGAGAAGAATGCCATCAACGAATTTTGGTTTAAGCAAGATGGCGCTACCCTACATCTAGCGGGTTCAGTCCTTGACTTGCACAATCAGGCTTTTCAGAATCGAGTTTTTGGCTTCGGGTATCTGCGCCACAAAAGAGGGAGGACCAAGGATTTGACTGATCAGCCCTCTTTAGCCCACGGTGGGGACACCTTCAAAGACAGAGTTTATTGGAGTAACCAAAAACTATCCCGGAATTAGAAGCTGCGATTGAAACTGAAATCAAATCTACCAGCACTGATACGCTGTAATCGGCAATTTTCAATTAAAAAATGGCTCGAAATGGTCGTCGTGATGAAAGCCGGGCACATGAAAACTATGTCATACCGGGTGACCCCCCAAAAAGTTCCGAACTTTACACGCCTGCAGAAGGTGTACCACATGAGT